ACTTAAAAATGTATTATTACATGTCCGGCCGTCGGACTCCATTGTGATAAAAACTAGGATCGTCATTATCATATGTATCATTATCATCATAAACAAGATAATCATCATCTTCGGGCTCCTCGGGATCTTCAGCTCGGGTTCCTCTTCGGCTGCCTCCTCACTGCTTCTTCCGGATGACTGAAATTGATTCAAGCAATCATACGACAGAGATCCGAATGTCGACCTCATCGTAGGCATGCTACCATATCCGGAGTTAGAATGATAACTCATATTAGTCATGTGCGGCCGAGGATGAGGCGGAGGGGAGGCTGATATCGGAGTTAGAATGATAACTCATATTAGCCATGTGCGGCCGAGGATGAAGCTGGGCTAATATCCGGCGTTTAAGATCCGTTTCATCGCTTCCGAGCAGGCTCTTGTTTCTTCATCCTTCATCCATACCGCCATGGAAAGTCAAGCATAGCACATTCCATACGTATGACAATTGACTGGAACTCCAAGTGGGCTGCCTTTCTCCTCACAAACTGCTGGAATTATAAAAATAAACATGTTGCCCAAGTTTCCTGTTCATACATGTAAGGGAAAAAAGATTATAAATTACCATGTACATAAATCCTGAAAGTTTGCATTATCATACCATACGATTATTTGGTCAATGGCAAATTATATGGTTCAACCGGTGCACGATGAGGATACTTTGGCGATTGCACCGGTTGCACAATATAATTTACAAATTATAAAACATCAATTCAGGAAAAAATAAAATTATTGAAACTCTAATTCGTATTAATAGAGTATCCTCATGATGCGCCGGTTGCACCATATAATTTGCCATTGACCAAATAATCGTATGGTATGATAATGCAAACTTTCAGGATTTATGTACATGGTAATTTATAAGCTTTTTTCCCTTACATGTATGAACAGGAAACTTGGGCAACATGTTTATTATTATAATTCCAGCAGTTTGTGAGGAGAAAGGCAGCCCACTTGGAGTTCCAGTCAATTGTCATACGTATGGAATGTGCTATGCTTGACTTTCCATGGCGGTATGGATGAAGGATGAAGAAACAAGAGCCTGCCTGGAAGCGATGGAACGGATCTTAAACGCCGGATATTAGCCCAGCTTCATCCTCGGCCGCACATGGCTAATATGAGTTATCATTCTAACTCCGATATCAGTCTCCCCTCCGCCTCATCCTCGGCCGCACATGACTAATATGGGTTATCATTCTAACTCCGGATATGGTAGCATGCCTACGATGAGGTCGACATTCGGATCTCTGTCGTATGATTGCTTGAATCAATTTCAGTCATCCGGAGGAAGCAGTGAGGAGGCAGCCGAAGAGGAACCCGAGCTGAAGATCCCGAGGAGCCCGAAGATGATGATTATCTTGTTTATGATGATAATGATACATATGATAATGACGATCCTAGTTTTTATCACAATGGAGTCCGACGGCCGGACATGTAATAATACATTTTTAAGTTTAACATTTCATATTACTTTTATAATTGCAGTCTGTAATAACTTTTATTAACTTTGTTGTATGTGTATGAAGTTTGTTTTTTATTTAATGTTATAATTGCTTTACTTTTTATAATATAATATTTTTCTTGATAAATTTTTGAAACTATTTTTTTTAAGAAAATTAAAATAATTTTTTAATTTTATTTAAAAAATGGATTTTAGAAAAAAACTTTAGTCACGGATCTCTTCCGTGACTAATATTTTGTCCGGAATTCTTTCATAATTTTTTTTTAAAAGTATAGTCACGGATTCGGTCCGTGACTAATATGGCCGAATTTAAAAAAGAGGAAAATAATTAAAATACCCAAAACTTTGAAGGGGTGTGAGATAAACACCCCAAACTTGCATATGTAATTTAAATACCCCAAACTTTATATAAAAAATTATTTTAGCACCATGGTCATATATTATTTCTTTCAAAAATATTAATTTTTGGTGTTTATTTCATAATTTGATAATTTTTAGCATTCATAAAGATACAATTAACATTCTAAGCTTCCATTGTAAAATAAATAATATTACCCCACCACTATATATAATTCTAATTTTTTCAATTTACTATTTTAAATTACGCATTTAACACCATAAATTTACATTTTTGAAAGAAATCATACATAACCATGGTGTTAGAATAACTTTTTATATAAAGTTTGGGGTATTTAAATTGCATATGAAAGTTCGGGGTTTTTATCTCACACCCCTTCAAAGTTTGTGGTATTTTAATTATTTTCCCCTTTAAAAAATAAATAAATTTAGTCATGGATCGGTCCGTGACTAATATGGCCGAATTTAAAAAAAAACTTAGTCACGGACGTGTCCGTGACTAAGACAAAAAAATTTAAATAAAACATAGTCACGGATCTGATCTGTGACTAACGTACCGGAGCAGCTATTCCGGTCAAGAATTAGTCACGGACCCGGTCCGTGACTAAACCGTGACTACATTTAGTCACGGATAATGTTTAGTGACTACATATAATCACACAAAATTAGACACAGCTTTAGTCACGGACACAATCCGTGACTAACATAGTTAGTTACGGATATTTTACACTACGGTGCGTGACTAAATCCGTGACTACAAGCGATTTTTTTTGTAGTGAGGGGCCCTCCTAATGATAATTTTCCATTTTTCATCATGTTTAATCATTTCACTTTGCCGTTTTTTTCGACAAACACGAGACATTTTCCTTAGTTTTCAAAAATGTGATTAAACTATTTTAAATCTGGAAACAAAAGACATTTGCTTAGTTTTCAAACTTAACCACATTGAAAAAAAAGAAAAATGTCTCTTGTTTGTCCAAAAAACATGGCAAAGTGAATTGCTTAAACGTAGGAAAACATGGAAAAATTATTATTCTTACTCAAAAATTTGAAACTTCATATATATAGACAATGTTTTCCACTTCGACCCATTCCCATTGATTGTGAAATAGAATTATATTATTTCTATTTCATAAGCAAGAGGAATGGGTGGAATCGGAAACATTAAAATGCATATGAAGTTTATGTCTTTTAATTTTTAATAAGGAAATAATGAGCGGAGCTATAAAAGCCTTTAGAGTATCTATAGTTTTCGGTGTGGGTAATCTTAGATGTTGTGTTCAGTTTTGACTTTTGAGGATATAAATTGATGGGGTTATGGGACTACGCTCAGAGCCTAATCGGCCCAGGCCCCGAACTTGGACCAGCAGGCCCAAGCCCAGCAACCCAGAGCTCGAGTCGACCCAACTGAGCAGGCTTGTCGACCAGCCCAGCGGGGAGCCTGCCCTCCATCCCGGCCAGCGGGGAGCCTGCCTTCCAGCCCAAAGGGGAGCCTGCCTTCCAGCCTAGCCAGGAGCCTGCCGACCAGCCAAGCTGGGAGACTGCGGTCCAGCCCAGGTGGGAGTCTGCCTTCCAGCCCGGCCAGCAGCCTGCCTCCAGCCCAACAGGGATCCTGCCTTCCAGCCTACTCGGGAGCCTGCCTCCAGCCCGGTCAGAAGCCTTCCTCCAACCTAGCGGGGAGCCCACCGTCCAGTCCAGCAGGAGGGAGCTCAAGCGTCCAGCCTGCCAGCCAGGAACTATAACGGCCAAAGTAATTAATGCGTGACTTAATTATGTATTTAATTCCGTATTAATGTTGTAATTAGTTAGCCATTAGTATCTTTGGCAGTTACCATTTGTAATCGCCTATAAAAGGCAAGTTCGAGTCAAATAATAGATATGCTATTTCTGGCTACCAAATCCTCTTTGCAACTTTCCTTATTCATATTACTTTCTTGATTCCCGCTTGAGTGTTGTACGTAGCTTTCCTAAAAGTCTACGAGCGTCCTATTTTGGACCAACATTGGTGCTTTCATTGAGAGCCTCTATTGTCTCTCACATCACTTGAGTAGGAATCGCACAGGAAGATGGCCGGAATCTCGTCCCGACGTGACCATGTCTCAGTCCACACCGAGGAATCCACCCGGTCTGGCCGCCAGCGTGCCCTCGAAAACCATGGACAGGACAGGAGGGCGGCGCACCAAGGCGACCTTCGGAACCAATTGTCAGGCCACAGCGACCTGAGGGCGACGCTCAACCACACCCAAGGTGAGCGCTCGGTCTGCAGCCGGCGGGGGGAGGCCGGCGTCATGCTCCACGCATGGACCCGGCTCGACTCAATGCCGAGGTGGAAGCCCTACAGGAGGCGACTCGGGTTCTGGGGGCCTTGGCTCAAGGTTTCCAACAGATGGTGTCTGGCGGAAACATGGATGAGCTTGCCCGTCAACAGACGCCGGCAGATGTGGAGGTGTCCTCCAGGCGGCGTGACGAGCGACGCTCTGGATCCAACCAAAACGGGAGGGAAGAAGTCTCCCAGCAGCTTAGCCGGCCCCATCGGTAGGCGGTTAGGGGCACCCAGCAGGGGCGCTCAATGCAGATGGAAGGAGGCGAGTCCTCTCGCCACTCTCACCGAGCGAGCAGCCGGACTGGCTCCATGGAGAGACAATACGTGGGGGCCCGACCTCACGCGCACATGCGACTTGGAGGCGCCGCTGGACATGCCCAGCCCCGTGTTGGGGCTGTCCGGGGGAACCCACTGCCGACCGAGGTGGAAGATATACGAAGAATATCTCTTCGTATTTTTTCATCAACTTTGATCTTCTGATTTCGAAGAATATTCTCACTGTGTTAATAGTATATGATGTATTTTATATGTAATTTACTTATATTTAATTGCTATTTTTTATATCATTGGGTTAAATAAAACATATTTAAAACAAAATTTCTACATGACCGTCTAGGGCCTCATAATTGCTCTAGCCGGCCCTGTTCCCAATGTCATTACATTACTTACTGTTTAGAAAGTGCAGAGGTGAATCATGAATGTAGCAGCATGCCATGATTATTAGTTATTTCTTTAGAATTATTTATGTTAGTTTTCCTTCTCATATAAGCTAAGACCTTCTCTTATTATTAGTATATATAGATTTCTATTAAAATAAATACACCTTGATCGATTTAAAGAATCAACACTGCCCAAGTTTTCAATAATGGTAGGGCTTCATTTTCTTTTTTGAGACTCACTAATCATATCCTAATCATCTTTGTCTAGGTTTCTTAACATTTTTAGCTATTAACATCTTTGGCCCAAGTTTTCAATAATGGTTGGCAGTTACAGCTAAAGTTGGTGTGTCTCTTTTTTTAGCTTTTGCATGCTTCTCATCCCGAAGTTAATTGTACACCTATGTATCACATGAAGTGGAGAAGCATCACCAATTAGCAACTTCCTGATTTCATTTGTAAGACCAACAATGAAACCAACAATCTGCATAGGAAATGATCAGGTGAGTTATGGCAATGATGTAGGGTAACATTGTTGAAGACTTGAAGTTGGACATGTTGGAAAAATATTCCATTTAAATGCCCTTGGACCATTTATATAATTTAATATATATTGGAGACATTTATGTCTTACCATTAAGTTTGCCATATGACAGATTTGGTCCTTGTATTTATGTATAGTTAACATATGATGGGTATGTTTTAACATTAAATAATACATAAGGGATCAAATGGGTTTCTCTTTGATACAAAATATAAAAGGCATCCGCCCATTCAATTCTTACGACTAAACGAACGTACACGTTCATTCCCAAGGGTCTCAAGAACACCTATAATAAGAGACCCAAGGGAGAATCGTTTAATCCATCGAAATCCGCTTGTATCCTTAGAGAATCAAAACGTCATGGCTTCATCGTCTTCTACGACACCATCAACATTCGGTTTCTCCTCAACCGGTTAGTGTTCTTATTGTTTGATTCTATGAATTTTATCATGTTTAGTGAGATTAGATCCTAATTGGGACTGATTTTCTCATCATTTGGTATCAGAGAATGTTAATTCTCACTTACGTTGATGAAATTCGAAGTTTTCAATCGACTAATTGATTATTAGTTTTTGTCGAATGTTATTTCCGCTGATTCTGAACTGAATGTTCAAGCATATAATTTTCCGTTCTTTCCTCTTATAACGATTATGTAATTCCGGTGTTTTATATATTCTGTGCCGACACCACTTAATCGGCTAGTAGCATGATTGATATATGTTTCAATCATCATATTCTTCCTTTTAAAACTTGCTTTTGATTTGAATCAATTTTTGTTCATGCTTTTCGGTGGTTCAAGATAGAACTAAGTACCGTATTATATCCCTGCATCTAAGTCAATGGGTCTGCCACTAGATTGATTTTCATATGTGTATATGCTGACATGTAGCACTTAATTCAATACGGTGCTTAATCATTCTTTTAAAACTGAAATTGTGATGTGAACCACTATCTAATTAAAGTGATGTCTCTGAATATCATAGTTTTGTATCTGTTGCATGAGTGGATTAAGTACATGCACTACCCAAAACTATATATTTTGACATTTGATCGATTCTTTATTTTCTTCATTTGACTTTTGAATCACTTTTTCAAAATTCATTTTTCATCCTAATCCGTTTATTTGCATCTGCAAACTGTTGAAGGACTTTCGGTTGTTTAAATTAAAACCAAGTCAATTGGTTAGTTTTACAAAATCTGGAATATATTAGTGTTGTTTTGTTTCTGTCAATTTTCCAGAATGTATCCTAAATTTCTAGATGCGGAGTAACTCACTTGAAATGTACTCCGTATATATAAAATCTGCAACTTTAATCATGAAAACTTATAAGCCACTATTTTGTTTCAAGTGCATCCACTTTAGTTGTCCGTGAGTGCTTTATTTCTTCTAGTTAAGGAAAAGAGATACTCATGTTCCAGAAATAGGAATAGAGATAACATTTAGATATTACCTATAGATGTGATTATGTATAAGGAAATTTAATTTTCTAAATTTTCTAGTTAATACTCATTAGAAATTGACATACTTGATCATTTACAAGATACTTCAATATATATGATCCATGGTTTAGGACTAATACTGCAGCATTTTTAATTTTCTGCCATATTTAAACTATGAATTATTAATTATCTTATTGTCAAATTCAATGATCGGCCCAACGGAGGATTATTGATTTTGACTATCTTAAACAATTATATGAGTTTTCTTTTAACAAACCCAAAGGTGTGTTATTTGATAACTTGTATAATGAAATTAAGCATAATCAAATGTGTTATATTTCTGCTCAAAGGTGATATGTGACACAATTTGCAGATTAATTTTAATTTTAATATCATTAATGTTTGATAATTAACATTAGCCAACGCAATGTTAGTTATTAAACATGATATGAATTTTTCCTATTATTTGGTGTTGATAATAGGCTTATTTACTAATAATTGACATGCCTTATTGTATTCCCTTATATATAATAAATAGCTTCTATTATTACCTCTGTTAAAACTTTTATTTCAGCATCTACTGTTACCCCATACAATTATGGGATAGAACCTCTAAATGGTACAAACTTCTCAACATGGAGAGAATCTGTAAAACTCTCACTTGGCATGATGGACCTCAACCAAGCACTGAGAATGGATCCACCGGATGCTCCTAACGCTGAGAGCACTGTGGAGCAGAAGCGTTCTTATGAACAGTGGGAGAGGTCCAACAGAATGTGCCTCATGGTGATCAAGAATTCCATATCTGTAGCTATTCGCGGAGCCATTCCAGACTCAGAAAATGCGAAAACCTACCTAGAATATGTGGAAGAACAGTTTAAGGGCACTTCTAAAGCACATGCTAGTACCTTGATTCTCAAAATGTTGACGAGTAAGTATGATGGAGTGAGTGGTATTCGTGAGCACATCATGAAAATGTCTGATATGTCCAATAAGCTCAAAAGTATGGACATGGAAATAAGTGAAGGTTTCCTCGTTCATTTCATAATGACTTCTCTACCTGCATCTTATGGTCCGTTCAAGATCAATTACAACACGCAGAAAGAGAAATGGACAATGAGCGAGTTGATTGCTATGTGCATTCAAGAAGAAGAGCGCCTTAAAGTTGAAAGACCAGATGTTGCTCATCTCACCACCACAAACTCAAAGAAAAGGAAAGGCAATCGTCAAGGAGGAGGAAAAGGTAACATTTCTAAGGTCCCAAAGATAGGTGCAAGCGTGAGCTCCGGTCCTTACTGTAAGTTTTGTCGCTTCAAAGGGCATTACCAGAGGGAGTGCCCTAAGTTTAAGGCATGGCTGACTAAGAAAGGTAACTTAACCACCTATGTAATTTATGAATCATTAAACACATCAGTTCCCCTTAATACTTGGTGGATTGACTCTGGTTCAATGGTTCATGTTTCAAACACACCGCAGGGATTCCATTCAATCCGGACATTGGGAAGAAAGCAAAGAGTGATTAAGGTGGGCAACGGAGAAGAATTAGAAGTGGAGGCCATTGGAACTATCTCATTAATTTTAGAGAGTGGCTTCATTCTTCATCTTCGTGATGCTCTTTATGTACCTAATATTACTCGTAATTTAGTGTCTGTATCGAAACTAAGTGCTGATGGTTTTACATTTAATTTCGTGTACAATAAAGTGACAGTAAGCTTGAACTCAAATGTAATAGGATTTGGTAGCATGGAGGGAAATCTCTATAAATTATGCTTAGATACTAATTTTATGGAATCCCCTTTGTCATTTAATATAACTGAAAATCCTTGTAAGAGAAAGAGAGAATTGGAATCGTCGTCTAATTTGTGGCATCAAAGGTTGGGCCACATATCACGAGATCGAATGATAAGACTCGTGAAAGACGGAATTCTTCCAAATCTTGACTTCTCAGATTATGACAAGTGTGTGAAGTGTTTGAAAGGGAAATTGTCTAAGAAAATTAAGAAAGGCGCCACACGAAGCACTGGTTTGTTAGAATTAATACACACCGATATTTGTGGGCCTTTTCCCGATTCCATAAGTGGTCATAAGTCCTTTATTACTTTCATAGACGATTATTCACGCTATATGTACCTATATTTGATTAAGGAAAAATCTGAATCACTAGATATGTTCAAGGCTTATAAAGCTGAAGTTGAAAATCAACTTGATCGAAAAATCAAAGTAGTGAGATCGGATAGGGGTGGAGAGTTCTATGGTCGACACACTGATATTGGTCAAGCTCCTGGATCTTTCCATGAATTTTGTAAAGATCACGGGATCATCAACCAATATACCATGCCCGGCACCCCTCAACAAAATGGGGTTGCTGAAAGGCGGAACAGGACTCTTATGGATATGGTCCGAAGTATGTTGGCTAACTCTAATCTTCCCCAAATCTTATGGACCGAGGCCTTAAAAACAGCAACCCACATACTTAATAGAGTACCATCTAAATCTGTCCCTAAGACTCCATATGAGCTTTGGACGGGCAGGAAACCTAGTCTAAGGTACCTAAAAGTGTGGGGTTGTCCGGCTGAAGCAAAAGTGTATAATCCTCAATTGAAGAAACTTGACATGAGAACCATTAGTTGTTCCTTTATTGGCTATCCCGAGAGATCTAAGGGATATAGGTTCTATTGCCCATCTCATACCACCCGAATTGTCGAGACTCGACATGCTGAATTCCTTGAGAATACTAACATTAGTGGGAGTAGTAGTGGTTCAAACTTTTGTGATGAACTTCAAGAGGGAAATGGAATAAATCCACTTATTATACTGCCCATTCCACCTAACTCCTCACTTGAAGATCATAGTGAAAGTCATACACCTCATAATAATGATGCAACAAGTCAAGAGGCGAATGAAACTCCAATCAATGTTGAACCAACTCCACCGGTTACTAATGAAATTCTGTAAAATCAGCAACCCTTAAGGAGATCTCAAAGGGTCAGACGCCCCACAAATTTTGATGAATATTTGATATATTTGAATGAAGAAGCCGACTTTGATTTAGGGAAAGTCGTAGATCCTATATCTTTCCTTGATGTCATTAAATGTGACCAATCGACTCATTGGAAAGAAGCCATGAATGAGGAACTTCTTTCCATGGAGAAGAACAATGTTTGGGAACTTGCTGAATTACCAAAGGGTCATAAGCCCGTTGGAAGCAAGTGGGTCTTCAAGACCAAATTAGATGCAAAGGGAAACATTGAAAGATATAAGGCAAGATTGGTCGCCAAGGGGTACACTCAAAGGGAAGGTGTAGATTATCAAGAGACCTTTTCACTCGTCTCTCGAAAGGACTCCCTAAGGGTCGTTATGGCTTTAGTAGCTCATTTTGATCTTGAGCTACATCAAATGGACGTCAAAACAGCCTTCTTAAATGGAGATTTACACGAAGATGTTTATATGATACAACCAGAAGGTTATGTTTCTAAGGGTCAAGAACATCTAGTGTGTAAACTCAAGAAGTCTATTTATGGGCTCAAGCAAGCATCTCGACAATGGTACCTTAAATTTGATGAAGTCATGAAATCAAATGGCTTCATTAAAAACAAAGTAGATCAATGCACTTACCTCAAAATGAGTGGGAGCAAATTCATCATACTTGTGTTATATGTTGATGACATCTTATTAGCAAGTAGTGACTTGGATTTGTTGCATGAAACAAAACGCTTATTATTTGGCCATTTTGACATGAAAGATCTAGGTGAAGCTTCTTATGTTATAGGCATTGAAATTCACCGAGACAGAGTCAAAGGGACGTTAGGCCTGTCCCAGAAGGCATACATTGAGCGCATTTTAGAACGTTTCAACATGCAACAATGCTCTCCATCAGTTGCTCCAGTAGTTAAGGGAGACGTTTTTGGGTCATTCCAATGCCCAAAAACCGAGGTTGAGAAAGAGCAAATGAAACTCATTCCTTATGCTTCCGTAGTTGGAAGCTTGATGTATGCACAAGTTTGTACTCGTCCAGATATCGCATATGTATCTGGTATGTTGGGTAGATATCAATCTAACTCAGGATTAGAGCATTGGAAAGCCGCTAAGAAAGTTTTGCGGTATCTTCAAGGGACTAAGGAGTACAAATTGACTTATGAGAGGTCTAATAATTTAGAAGTGGTTGGATATTCCGATTCCGATTTTGCTAAGTGCAAAGACGATAGGAAGTCTACTTCGGGATACATTTTCTTGCTGTCAGGTGGGCCAATATCTTGGAAAAGCCACAAGCAAAGACTTACAACTACTTCAACAATGATGGTTGAATATGTTGCGGTGTACAACGCAACATGTCATGGGATGTTGTTAAGGAATCTTATCAAAGGATTCAAAGTAGTGAATTCCGTCTCAAGACCACTAAGGATTTATTGTGACAATTCCGCGGCCGTGAGCTTCTCAAACAATAACAGTTCGAGTGGAGCGGGATTGTTCCTCGATACAAAATATTTGTTCGTTCGAGAAAGAGTGGAGGAAAACGAAATTTGTATCGTACACATCAGCACAAATGATATGCTAGCAGATCCTCTCACCAAAGGACTTCCGCCCAGTATTTTTCAAAGACATGTCACTAATATGGGCTTGATCAAAGATCCTGTTTAGGAATTAATAGCATAGTGTCTGATTAGTTATCTTATTTAATATTTTCAAGTACTTGATTTAGAATCCCTCCTTAAGTATGTTTGTCTATTCTTTATTGTGCACACAAAGTTATTTAATAGACAAACATAATACCCTAAGTTTAATGTCATTTGGCTTATATTAATCCTTATACTCTTTAAGAACTGTCAAAGTATGATTAATGGGGGTCCCGGGTTATATTGACCCGTTAGACTGTACTTGTTTGCTTTGATATTATTATGGAGTAAGATGAAATTTTCTTGGCCAACACTTACTTTAGCTTATGTATAAATGATCTCAAGGTCAAGTGGGAGAATGTTGGAAAAATATTCCATTTAAATGCCCTTGGACCATTTATATAATTTAATATATATTGGAGACATTTATGTCTTACCATTAAGTTTGTCATATGACAGATTTGGTCCTTGTATTTATGTATAGTTAACATATGATGGGTATGTTTTAACATTAAATAATACATAAGGGATCAAATGGGTTTCTCTTTGATACAAAATATAAAAGGCATCCGCCCATTCAATTCTTACGACTAAACGAACGTACACGTTCATTCCCAAGGGTCTCAAGAACACCTATAATAATAAGAGACCCAAGGGAGAATCGTTTAATCCATCGAAATCCGCTTGTATCCTTAGAGAATCAAAACGTCATGGCTTCATCGTCTTCTACGACACCATCAACATTCGGTTTCTCCTCAACCGGTTAGTGTTCTTATTGTTTGATTCTATGAATTTTATCATGTTTAGTGAGATTAGATCCTAATTGGGACTGATTTTCTCATCAGGACAATGCCATGGAAAAAGAAGTTTACATACATCTCCAGTGGTTGAAGGTGTTAATATGCTCTTCAGATTGATCTTCCTTGAAAGCATCTCATGATATATGCTTTTCATCCCGAAGTTAATTGTACACCTCTGTATCACATGAACTGGAGCAGCATCACCAATCAGAAACTTCCTGATTTGCTCTCCTCTACGTATCAAAGCATCACACTTCACACTCATAGTTTACTTAATTAGAAATAGGCATTATCATTTGATTCACTATTGATTCCCATTGTACTAAAAAGCAAGTATTTCTGTCAAATCCATAAAAAAAAGTATCCATACCGCCATCGAAAGTGAAGCACAGCACATTCCATAGGTATGACAATTGAGTAGATCTCCAAGTGGGCTGCCTTTCTCCTGACAAACTGCTGGAATTATAATAATAAGCATGTTGCCCTAAGTTTTCTGTTCATACATGCAAGGAAAAAAGCTTATAAATTACCATGTACATAAATCCTGAAATTTTGCATTATCATACCATATTGGGATTTAGAAGACTTTGTTTTGAACAAGGGATGCTCTAAAATTACTAAGTTCCATATATGTTATCATAAGCTTTTCAATGTTTTAGGGATGAAAAGTGAAATCTCTCTCTAAATGCCCCCAAATTAGGTGGTATCCTCCAAGAGAATGCAAGGCAGGAGTGTTTCTGTCTATGGTCATCAAAGCCGTTTCCCGCACTTTCTATAATCAGTGTTGTAGTGCGAAGGTATAAGTTTTTACCTCCATCGATAGTAAGATTAACCAAATTCGTTTTAGAAAAGGGAGTGAGAGAAATAGAGAACTAGATGAGTATACAAATAAAAAACAATAAAAACGCATTGTTATGATATATTACATTTTTGTCTATAGTTGTCTTCATCAACAAATAACAATATTAAGGAGTGTAAGATTTTGAGATTCCAGAAAAATGTTTCTATTTGTTGAGGAGTTAAAATAAATGGATTCCCCAATTTCATGTAAAACATAATCTGTTTTCCATCAATTAGGAGACAACCATTAAATTACATGATTGGGTTTCTTTCTTTTTTGCTGTTTTTCTTATTAAATCCTTACCTATTTTCCATATATTTGAAATTCATCACTGTATTTTATTTTTGGTAAATCCAAGTTTTATAGCTAGGTGTTGTGGTTAGCTCGAAGATGAAGTCTTCTGAAGTTTGTATGGATCATATGTTCTATTTATTTTCATGCAAATGTCCAGGTCGTCTCTTGTTCACTATTGTCTAAAACCATCCAAAGTACTTGGTTGGAGCGGAGCAAAAACTGATTTAAAATCATCAGGTTAATAAGCATGTGAGTTGTATTGATGCTTATGTGTGGTTTCCAAACCATGACAAGCAACATTACAATGGTTCCATAACCAACTCCAACAAATGGTAAGCACACTACGAGCCCGTTTATGACTCTATTTTTCGGCTTATCAACCAACTTTTTTACCAAACACGTAACTTTTGATTTCACGCGCTGAATTGTGTAATAATAAGAAAAGTAAGGTTGAAGTTACTTTTCTGGCTATATTGGCTGAAGTTACCGTAGATTATCATTTTAGCTATTTTTCATATATTTTTTTCTTTATTTTATTATTAAAAAATATTTTAAATACAATTTTTTCATAAATCAACAGATCAGCCAATCCAGCCACTTCATAAATTTTAGCAGAATCAGCCGCCAATTTCAGTGTTATCAAACGGGTTCTACATGTTTCAATTTCTAGCTAAATGTAATAGCCCGGCCTAAAGTAGATATTGTAGTTAGAATGATAATCATCAAGCTATTTGCTTACTTAGGCTAAATGTAGAAAGATGAAATCGAAGCAAACACTTCAATCTAAACTTTTTGTATAACAATTAATATGTCATTTGTTCCTTATTAAGGGTGGACCAATCGTAACCGGAACTCGATGGTTCCTGGAATCGGATTGGTTTGGGTGGTTAGGGCTGGAGACCGACTTCGGGGACAATTTATGGGTGAGTGGGTGACGGTCCCAGACTCTGTTTTTTGGGATCTGAGTCAGCCGGTCCAGTCCCGATTGGATCATGTTAGGCATTTCAAACATTAGTGATAATTTCAAATAGGTGTAAATGTTGACATTTACCGTGAAATGATTCCATCCCACAACTGGATGAATAAATACTGCTCAAATGCAGATTTCTTGCGCCATCCATGGTCCCAAGTCAGATTGGTTTAACTTGTGTTATGCGATGATGAAGGAAAACTAAATTCAAAAAATGAAGTCTACTAGGTCTTCAAACTTTTAATGTGTATACTTAGTAAATTTTTAAAATTTATTATTGTTTATTTATGATCTTACATATTTGTGTATAACTTCTATTTTAATAGATTCATAAATGCGTTTATATATTTACTTTATACTACGTAATATCTATAAATTGCATCCCGTGCAACGCAAGGGTGAACGACTAGTATAAATTAATACATTAATTGTATAGGTCTCATTATGCTACCACTCATCTCAACTACATATGAAACATTTGACTTAAATATTATTTAAAAATGATCCACCATTTTAATATTGTATATAATTAAATTTTGATCTCCCTCACATGTTTTTCTGGCTCCATCACAACGCCACTAAATAAAAGTCAAGTAAACTTGGCTCGATTATTTGGTCAATTGGTTGTCGTCACCCAGCCAGTTGGATAAAAAGAGTTATTTCTATAGTCATTTGCATAGCATCTTCATAGCTAGGGGTGGACTCGGGCCGGGTGGCCCGACCCAGAACCGACCCGGGATCGGCACTGTTCCGGCCCGGCCCGAATCGGTGGCCCGGTCAGTGACCGGTCCGGATAGGCCCGACCCGAGGGGTTTCCGGTCCGGGCTCGGGTCACCCAAAACAAGGCCCCCCAGCCAGGCCCGGTTCGGGCCAAATTGATTTTTATTTGTTTTTTTCATTTGTTTGGGCTCCACCCGGGTTGGGCTTGATGTTTAGGAGGGGTTTGGGCGGGGGGTTTGGGGGGTGGAAGGTGAGGGGGGTCATGGATAGGTAGGTAAGCAAAAAAAAAAATTAACCAAGCCCGAGGCCCGGCCCGGCCCAGACCCGGACCGGACCCGGTGGCTACCCGGGCCGGTCTCAGGTCCACCTATTCAGACCCGCCGGCCCGCCCGGGCCTAGACCCACCCAGCCCCGGCCCGAATGCACTCCTATTCATAGCAGAGTTCGCCACTTCCCTAGTCAAATACCAAATTCATCTCATAGATTTGGACTTCCCTTATGCCCATTACAGATCATTAATTGTTCTTTTATCTTAATATTTTAGGGAGTATAATTCTTTAATTTAGTGGTTTGTAAAAATGCCTATTGGAAAATACGAGTATGACCATAATACCAGACAAAAAAACGGCCTTGACTATGAATCTTATGATCATGAATAGTATATACTGCAAAATAATAGCACAGCTGCCCAATTCCACAGCTACTGATTTGGCAAAATCAACTGTACATATCAGTTTCTAATGAGTTTCTAATGACTTCCCTCTCGCCTCTCTTCCTGTCCTTCTCCCTAATGACTTCCCTGCTACCAAAACAATATGAAGTACTTTATTTCCTTACCAGAGACCTCTGTTTAAGCATACGGCAGTTCGTAATCACTGAAGTCCCAGTTATCTTCATCTGATTTATAACCACCCTCCTCCTCCTGAGTTTTATCCATTGCCCCTTGTTGAAATCTTGGTTGGAAGCGCCTGTTAACAGTGAAAGGAAACAAGACATTATCATCTTTTTTGTCAACAACAAATCATTGTAGAGGCCAAGGTAGTCAACTGTCAAAGCCGAGATGCGCGCTCAAGACGCTAGAGTACTCATATCACCTGAGGCACAAGGCACAAAAAAGAGCTTGTCTGTCTCATGTCAAGCGCACTGCTTGGAAAATATATGTATTCACACTATATGCACTATAAGGCCCTGTTTGGTTGGAGGGTTTCGGAGGGGAGGGGAGGAAAGTGGAGGATTTGTGTGTGTTTGGTTGAAGTAAATAGGGGGGGAATGAGAGGAAAGTGGAAGGCTTTCAAAATCCTCCATTTCCTCCCATTCTAAACCCCCAAATCGGGGTATTTCGGAGGAAACATGTTGATAACCACAAACTATCCATCTCCTACGTGAATGAATAAAACGTTATAATATAAAAAGGTAAAAAACAAAAAGTTTTGAAAAATTTAAAAATTTAAAAATTTAAAGATTAAAAAATTTAAAAATTAAAAAAAATAAAAATTAAAAATTTTAAAAATTACTCCGTATAAATGAAAAATTTTAAAAATTAAAAATAAAAAAATTAAAAAAAATATCCAAACTGAAAAATGAAAAATTATAAAATTAAAAAAGTAAAAAATCAAATAAAATAAAATTATGACTCATGACCATAGGAGTAATATTCACAATAGTTAGACATGTATCTATTTTTTTAAGTAAGCTATCAAATAAAAGTAAATTGCGAAAATATTTTCATTAAATCTTTCCTCCTATTTCCTCCAACCAAACACAAATTTTTATCAAAATCCTTCCTTCCCCTTCCCTTCCCTTCCCTCCTTGACTCTCCCCTTCCCTCCCCTCCTTTGAACCAAACAAGGCCTAAAAGTCATACTCACAAAAATAAAGTCATGATTCACACTAACAGGACACCAACTCAAAAGCCATAACACTTTAGTCGTAAATAATAAAACTAAAACCTATATTCGGTTACATTCTAGCGCAATTCTCAAATCACAACTCTCAAGGATCATCGATCATTAAAAGTGGAGACCATCTATTAGCAGTATTAGATTCACAACTCTTAAGAAATAAAGATAGAATTTTAAATGAAAAGATATAAATAAAGAAAGAAGAAATAAATCATATGTTCAAAGTTATATAAAAAATAAGAAAGAATGAAGAAGTGAAAATAAAAAGAAGATGAAAACAGAAAGATGAAACATTATGCGAACGAGGAGGAGGTTACCAACTTACCATTTAACGCAGAAGAGTACTTCTTATTACAATAGTTTCGGTATACTCTCTAATACACCGACTGAGAAGGATTTATGTTGTTTTATTATTTGGATGAGCTATATCTTATTAGGACAATGGGTTTATTTAAAATATGCCATAATCCTATACGCAAAAAGAAAAACAAGCTGAGAAGTCTTTCCTAGTTCAGGCACGACAGGTGTGCACTTCTGCTCCTATGCGCTTTATTTGCACCTGAGGCATATCACAGCGCCTGGAGAATATTGAGACGCTACCCATGTTCAGCGCCACACCTGCTACGTAACGTTTAAGTGCTCAGGCAAGCGCTTTGACTAAACTGGTAGAGGCACTAGAGTGTTATTATATATTATATATGTATATACATATGCATGCATCTCACTGGTGTTATGGTGTATGAGACCCAAGCAGCACATAAAAATGGTTTGCCGTTCAATTTCAACTGTTCAAAATTGATGTACAAATAAGAGGGAGAATCATGTAATACTACCTGCCCAAATTTATATATACACAAAAAGTCATGCTCACGATGTTTAATTTCAATTATAAAGAAATCTATTTATTAGACAAAATTTTGTACAACTGACCTTCGAAATCTACCCCAGTAAAGTAACTAACTACTGGAAAAAAATAAAAATAAAAAATCCGAATTCTGAAATGTTAAAGAAATTTGACTGGGAGACTACCATGGAAATGCTACATGGGTGTAAACTTAAGGAATGCATAATTATTTTCAAAATTGTCCATCCATTCGATTTTAAACTTCAAAGCTTCAGGATTGAAAGTAGAAGACTTCCATCCAACTAAAATCCCAATTCTCAATTACCAAGGAATCCTTTCATGTCAACAAGAAACTTAGAGGCCAGCTTTGAAAAGAAAGAAGAAAACACGAAATAAACTCGAGAATTGGTTGTTTAAACTTCAAAATCTTCCTTGACTGAACAAGACACATGCTACTAAGTTCCTCTTTCCTTGATTCCAAAACAATATTTGAGAATTGAGACTATTTCTCAGTTTCAGTATTACACAAATTAGGAAATGGATCTCCAACATTTACGAACCAAAACTTTAGAATACTATTTCCTATACTGTTTATCACTTTATCCACCGACAATTCTTGCATTGGTAAATCAATTACAAGTATCATAGATTCATAGATACTTCTAAATGTTTAACAGAAGCACACATGTTTTCTTTGCTACCAGGTAGAGCAATATATATGTAGTCCATCTAAAATCTTACTTAATACTGTGAAATCCATAAGGAGGGAAACAATCCATTCTTAACTGACCAAAAACCTTAGCAACTTTAATAGAAACATCAGATATTTGTGCAGAGATGGAGCTATCTATTCAAATATGGATCTATGAGTCCACACTTGAACAGCTTTAAAACTACTCAGTTTCTAAAGTCTGAACGTGTAACCTGTTCTTAACTATCAAGCTCAAAAGTCCAAAACTATCCAATCATAGTCAACAGGCATTTATTTCTGATTTCATTTGCAAACAACACTTCATATGTTAAGTAGCCTAGCCATGAACTAGGCCCCAATTCCTAACACCCCATCGCCATAAAAAAAAGACTCAGGTAGCTTCCAGAGGACCACGCTCCCACCAAATGATGAAACCCTAGCATTCCCGCTTTATACAAAATTTAAAGAAACCTAAAATTACTCATTTATATTTACCCCCATAAATTTTGATTTTCTTTCTTCGTTTTACTGGCAGTAAATTACTGCTATTAAAATGGCTACAACTACATCTGCATAGTGTGCTTGGGAAACGAATGAGACATACTGCATGTAAGGAGCACTTATCTCATTTATGTTTTCTAAATATATGTCATATACTGATTTATATGGGTAACAAGTTCAATGATAATAGCAATTACTCCGTATGTTAAATAATCATTGCCTCTGATAAAGGGAAAATTCATTCAACCGCAATGCCCAGAATTCAAATACCACGTAATAATTTAGCCACAGAATTATAATGAAAGAAATAGTACTATGTTCAGTTCTACCTCTACCCAAATAATAAGGTGAAAAACAAAGCTGTATACACACACACACACTTCCTATGTATTAGAATGCTTGATAAGGTTGAATGGTAAAGCAATAACCTTTTCCGGTTGCGCCTGGCAGCATTACGAGATTTGCGTTTCTTCTTCTCCTGATTAGACTCGAAGAACCTCCGGTATCTACATTCCTGGAGAACTCCTGCCCTGATTACCTCTCGGCGGAAGCGACCAACGAGACTCTCTTCCGGCTCGTCCTCGTCGACAATGATCTCAACATTGCAGGGAGACTTGAAGAAGAGGACGTCCGCAAAATCGAGCGAAGGAAGCGCAACAGATGAAATCGAGCGGTTATTATGGTCGGGTTCGATTGCTGCGGGCAAATGCGAAGAGGAGATGTGCGGAATACGGAGGGAGGCGGCGGAAGAAAGTGACAGATGATTGGCGGGTTTTGAATTGACGTTTACGTAAGAAGGGTTTTGGGGAGAGAATAAACGGAAGGCCCTGGAAACGGAAGATGACAACGATAGCATTGCTCTTACCTCTCTTCTTCTTCTTCTTCGAAACTAAACAGTGGTTTCGGCAAAATGTCTGTGGCCCTCTCGAACGCTTACGCTTCCCCCATTATTCTCAACGGCCGAAATCCTTTCGTCATTTATTCATGTCACCGTGCCGGTTCTAAATTATATCCTAGGCCTGGGTTGGGTAAATAATTATATTCAGGTTTTTGTAAATAAACCAAATTCAAGTCCCGAGTCAACCCGTTCTTTCCATCATCTTTCATCTTCACCAACATTCTCTTTTTTCTCTCTTTCTTTGTTTTCTTCGTTGCCTTCCTCTTTTCTTTCTTTTCTTCCGCCGCCTTCCACTTTTCCTTCTTTTCTTCCGCCGCCTTCCACTTTTCCTTTCTTCTGCCGTCATCAATTTTGATCATTATGTTTACTTTTTGTTGTTTTTTGTTTTTTATTTTCTTTACTTTTTTAGTGATTCTGATTGTTAGGTTTTTTGTCTTTTTGTTTTTTATTTTCTTTACTTTTTTAGTGATTGATTTCACTTTCTTTGACTTTGTCTTTTTCTTTTACTTTCTTTACTTATTTTCTTTGGGTTTTTTACTACTTTTCCTTTCTTTATTTGTTTTACCTCTTTCTTTTTTTCATTTACTATACCGAGCACATTAGAAATGAGTTTTACATCTAACTGAAATGAGTAAAACGTTTAAAAAAATGAACATACACAAATGAACTTTTGAATTTTTGAATACTCATTTTGTAAATTATGTATATTCATTTAGCATCTCTGTTATGCTCATTTTTAAAATGTTTTAGCAATGCACATTTCAAAAGTCTCATATTACATTAGATTTATATAAGAGTTGATTATAAACACGAGACAACAAATCATGATACTCAATCACAGATTCTAATACTCAATAACGGAGGCTTGAGGCTCACTTAAAATGTCTTGATGCTCAACTAAAAAAGCAACTAACAAATTCATTAATACTCATTTAGTAAGTTACGTATGCTCATCTGAGACTGGCCATATGCTCATTTTATAAATATCATATCAATGCATTTTAAAAGTACTACGGAGTATTTTATATTAGACTCCTAATACTCAATATAATAGGTCTGATGTTCATTAAAAGTTCATTATTACTCATTCTCCAGAAGTCGTGATTTTTATCTCAATAGTGGAGGTTGATGCTCATTTAAAATGTCATGATGTTCAACTAACAAACCTTATGATTTTCATATAATGTGCACTTTGTAAGTTATGTATGCTCATTTTCGTGCTAATGTTATGCTCATTTTTAAAATGTCATATCAATGCATGTTCCAAAAGTATCATATTACATTAGACTCGCATATTGAAATTTGTTGGGATATTGACCTAGAGGCCCAATACCCAGATCGGGAAGGCCCAAGATGTCCGGCCCAAGTAACAGGCCCATCACTCTATGATGAAAAGATCCAGTAAGGAGACATACCGAACGGAGTTCGGCCCAAAAATAAAGATTGACCCAGTAAGAAGACATACCGAACGAGGTTCGGGCCAATTTGACAGCATCTTCAGTACGGACCAACATCCCGTTCGAGCAACGGCCAACCAGCAAGTGGCCAGGTGCAGTTAATGCCAGACTATGACATCAGCAAGTGGAAGCATGGATGACCAAGTCGGTGGAACAACGGCCAATCAGCAAGAGGCAGCTCATGCTCTCCATTAGTATAAATAGAAGGTTTCAAGTCATTGTAAGGGTTAGCATTTCAATACTCAAGCTCTAGAATAGCATCATTTTGCTCTTATTTCTTGCATTAAAGCATAGTTTCCGACTTACCGATCGGGAAATCCCTTGTAATCAGATTGGTTAATTAATACAAGTGGGCTTTCGAGTTTTAGTTAGTTCAGATCTTATATTTTCTTATACACTTTGATTCTGGGCCATTCCTGATATATCCAAAGTTCGTGTTGGGCTTTCGGATCTGCGGGACTTACCCTCAACAAAATTAATAGGAGTAGATTATAGATATAATTTAATAAGTTTTTATAAAAGAAAAATAACAAAAAAAAGAATTAGAAGATGTGAAACAGAGATCGTGATACTCATAATTAGTCTTCTAATACTCAATAAAATAGGTCAAATGCTCATTAAAAGTACATTATTGCTCATTTAGCAGGAGACATGATTTTTTGCTTAAATTACAAAATGACACCGTTAAAATAATTGGCCACTTTGCTTGTTTTCCACTCCGGACCTGTTGTTTATGGGGCTTGCTCGTTAATTATTGTGGGCCTCCATTATATTCATTAAATTTCATTTAAATTGGGTTGAAGCTTTAAAAAATTAAAAAAAAAAACTGGATGTACGGTTCACACCCGTACACCCGGGTGTATTATATACGAACCGTTTGAAAACAGCCTATTGGTTCTCAATTTATAAATCAAGAAAATATACGAAGTACAATAATATTTCGTATATCCTAGACCCTACTCTTCTAGCCGATTAACAATGACAAAGAGCTAAATGATTAAGGGGTGTATATTCAATCATTCTTCAACAATAAAAATACAATTTTGCTATAGGTACCCCATAGTTACCCCATTTCCTATCTCATATAAATATCCTCCCAAAAATTTACCCCCACTCCCTCATCTTCCTTCCCCCTCATCTCCCTTTCATCTCTCTCTTTTCCAGTCAGCCCTTCTCCCTTTCATCTCCCTTTCATTTCCCTCAGTTAAGCCCCCCTGCTTGGTTCCGGCGAACACCCAAGCAGGTCCGGTGGCAAGCCGGTCATCTTCTCCGGCGACACCTGACCGCCGTCCCAGTAATTTCAGTACCGACCAGATTTAAAAACCTTCCACACCTTCTGCACCAACTTGTAATTTCAGTTCAAAACCTTCAAATTCCAGCGAACATAACTTCAAAACATACATGTGATGGTTCAGATCTGTTAGCTTTGGTTCAGATCTGTTAGCTTCAAAATCTAGTGAAAAGAGGGGAGCGAGCGGCGACTGGACGGAAAGAGGAGCTAGCGGCTGGAGCAGCTGAGCCCTCGCACACCATGGTCTTTTTTCCTCATTTTTTGGTATTATTTTGTCCAACTCCACATGAAAAACAGTTGTCTGTCTGACAGACAAATTTGAATTGCAGCGTCTGTCTAGCTGAGCATAGTTTCACAATTGGTGGAATCTTACATAAGATGTCTGTCTGGAAAGAGCTGCTGCACATGTGAAGAAACAAGGCAGCCTCATTTGCCCCATTTGCTGCTCAACTTGGAAAGAGTTGCCTGTGTTTGAAGATTCTCGAAGTTGAATGCTCTCATAGTTTTTTTGTTGTATTTTTGTTTGTTTAAAATTGGTTTGTAGTTGTCTGTGAAGTGAAAAGAGTTGTCTGACATTCCATTTGATTTGTCTGTAATGTGAAGATAGTTGTCTTTCTGGTGAAATTGTGAAGTAGTTGTGTATATTTAGATTGCTCTGTGATGATATTGAGATGTCTGGCAAGGCATATTAGTTGTCTGGCACGTTAAATCCAATTGTTTAAAATTGGTTTGTAGTTGTCTGTCATGTGAAAGTAGTTGTCTGACATTCCATTTGAGTTGTCCGACAATTTATTGCAACAAATTATTTGTTGTGAATAGATAAACAATACATATGTCTAGACAGACATTAGAGATAATCATACATACATTATTTTCACGTAGAAAGACAATAACTTTACACATACAGACAATACCATAGATACCCATACATAGAGTACTTAATTGGCCCAGACTACTAATGCCTGGCCCAGACAAAATTTGTCTGGCTATACGACAAAGAGTACTTAATTGACCCAGACTACTAATGTCTGGCCAAGACAAAATTTGTCTGGCTGTAGGACAGAGAGTAGTTAATTGTCCCAGATTATTAATGTCTGGCCAAGACAAAATTTGTCTGGCTGTAAGACAGAGAGTATTCCTTATTCTAACAGGAAACCTTACTCTTCTCCTTGTAGAGATTACATATGTAATTCATTCACCACATGTGTCTTCACATTACCAATACAACGATGTTTCAAAAAAAAGGCACACACATTTATATAAAAACTACATTACCAATACAACCATGTTTCCAAACAAAATCACATTCATTTAAAGTTGTCTGGCCACACACACATTTTATGTATGACTCTAACAACTATAAAATCATGTCAACTTTAAACAACTATGAAATCATGTTCACTTTATGCTAGACAGACACTGCAGTTCCAAATTGTCTGTCCGCCAAACAAAATACAAATAAATGGTGAAAAACAACATATTCTTCTCCTAGACTAACAAATACAGACACTGCACTTACAAGTTGTCTGTTAGACAGACAACCCTTTTTTTCTAAAACGCACCAAAAAATCAAGAAAAAAATCAAGAAAAGTAGATCTGCTCCAAGTCATTCAAAGCTTCTTGGTTTGTACTTTCGTCGTTGTCTCCCCACGTCACCAAGCTCTCCTTTTCGTTCGATTACTGTAGCTCTTCCATTTGAAACGAAAAAAATAAACCGACGAGGAGAGAAGCAGGAGAAGAAGCTTGGAGGGAGAAAAGATTGAAAAAATGAGAAGACTTGATGGGGAGAGATCTTGAAATAGAGAAGAAATCAAGTTTTGGAGAAAATAGAAAGAAAGGGGAAGGGAGGGGCGTGAAAAGAGAATATGGAGGAGAGAGGGAGGGAAGAAGAAGAAAAGTGGGGGAGGGGGAAGGGTTTTTGGAAAAGGGGTAAAAGGAATGGTAAAAAAGGAGGTATTTATATGGGGTAGGGAATGGGGTAAAGTTGGGGTACCTATAGCAAAATTGATAAAAATATTAAATATATCGAGTAAAAAAGGTTTAAGGGGTTTTCTTCCCTAGCGCTTCTAGGGTTTATCCGTTGCTATTGATTCACTTGATTGTTCACGTTAATTTTGCGTCAGTTTCACTTTCTTTCAATCATGTCTTAAGCGATGGAGGATGTCTATGCCCGTTTATCATTAGAAGATGAAGATGTGGAAGGCATCGACGTAGAGGAAACCTGCTTGGAGGAATCAGCATGTGTCTCATCGTATTCATTGGTAGGACGCATTCTCACAGATAAACAGGTTAAGTTTCCTTATTTCCGGGATTCTATTGCTGATATCTGGAGACCGGGAAGGGGGTC